CTGGCTCTGCTTTCAGTGTGCACCCAATATTCCCTACTGGCCAGCAGGGAAGAACCCGGTGCCCAGGCAGCAGTGCCCCTCTGGGTAGGGAAGAGTTGCTGGCAGATGGGAGTCCTGTTCTGCACGTTCCTCGTGAGCTGGCCGTGGCTAGAGGCAGGATAGCTGGCTAGTTAGAGCTTTGGTCTGACTGCCTGCAGTGGTTCCTATGGACAGCGCTCACTGTGTCCCTTCCTTTTGTTTGCCGTCTCCTCCTCAGCCTTTCTCTGGCTCCGTAGTGAGTGAATGCTCTTTGCTTTACACACCCATCAAATTCCAGATGGGGGCAAGGCTTGTGACTTTAACACAGCTAGCAGTAAAGCTTTTTCCAGGTCTGATTCTATCCAGACCATAATATGTATCGCTACCCTTCCACCAAGGAAGTTTAGCTAATCCCACTGATGAGAGTAGATCCTTAAAGCAGTTCTGGGAAAAGAGAGCTGTTGTTTTGGTGCCCCCAGAGCTGAGCACGTCAAAAACAGGCAGAAGGTCCCTCCTTGTAGTTTCTAATCACCCTTTTTATTTCTCAAGTCCTTTACAGTTCCAAGCTGTACAGATTCTTCAAGTACATTGAGAATCGCGACGTTGCAAAAGCTGTATTAAAGGAACGGGGTCTGAAAAATATTCGCATTGGCATTGAAGGTAAAAGTATTTCCTCAACCAAGGAATTTCTAAAACAGGTCACTCTATAGTCAATAAATCCTGGTTTCCTATGAATTTGGGGAGACCGCCAATGTGGGTTCTTTGGTCTCTAATAAAGGTTGACCCTCCACTGAAGACTTTCACCAGGGAGGGGTACCAAGAAGTCTCTCTGTTTTACCACATAGTGAAGCTAGTAGAAACTTGGTATCTTCCTTTGCCTCTGTCATGTTTCACTGAAATTGGCCAGGAGGTTTAAAAGTTAAGGGGAACTGATAGATCCGTAGTGCCAATGTGTAAGCCTCCTGTCTTTAGGAACAAGCAAACAGAAAAGGGGACTCGCACTTCCGCCGTTCCTGCTGGTCCAAGCATTTACTTCAGGAGCTTAGAGGCTCTTGTGCTCTGTCCTGGGGGAGACAGGAATCTCATTTTTATAGTAGTAGTTTGCTCGCATAATGGCTAACACTGTGCAGCCACTGATCGTATGACCATGCACAATGGCTGCACCCTCATTCTGGGAGAAAGAAAATAGTTTTTTTGCAAGCCAGTAGTAGTAAATGTGGAATATGAGCGTTTTTCTACCGAGTTCCCCCGTCTCCCCCAGTCACTCCTTTCTGGCCGTTCTTCTGAGACCCTGTTGTCTCTTTGTGCAAGTCAGAAGAGCCTAGCACAACTGACTGGCTGTCTATGTTTTCAGGATATCCCACCTGTAAAGAGAAGGTGAAGAGGAGGCCTGGTGGCCGGTCGGAAGTGATATACAACTATGTTCAACGGCCATTCATCCAGATGTCGTGGGAAAAGGAAGAGGGCAAAAGCCGCCACGTCGACTTCCAGTGCGTTAGGAGCAAATCTCTAACAAACCTAGTCACTGTGGGTGATGACGTTTCTGAGGACCACGAGATACTAATGCATCACCCCCCCCAGGTAGATGAACTGGACAGGCTAAATGCACCGTTCTCCCAAATGGCTGTTAACGATCTACCAGATTAGTCATGGCTCAGGGCAGATAGGCCTACTTGGAAACATCTCAGCATAGTTCCATCACGGGTGATGGAACACAAACTCCTGCAAGGTGCTTTATCCTTGTTCATGCTCTTACTACATTGTCTTATTTCAAGCATGTTAATAAAGAGCCACACTCCCTAGCCTAACCATGCAATCAAAAGCAACGTCTCCTCAAACAGAAAGAAATGACGCTGTTTGCTTCCACTCCAAAAGCGTCCAGATTGGTGGGTGCTGAATCTTTTACCTAAACTCCTAAAAGAAGAGTAGAAGTATTTAGAATCACCTTGTTTGATACGAGAGAGGAAATTCCAGGCCTGTCAAGACAAAGCTTGCTTTTACCATTAGGCCCTTAGGTTTGCTTTTGTGATAATCAGTTACAAAGGACCGAAAATCAAAGCAAGACAGATTACACCCCTTCATCAACCAGCAGAAATGTAGCACCGTTGTGGCAGCAAAATACTGAGTGTGGGGGAATCTGTTAACACTGCCACCTGGCTTTGCATCCAGTGTGTTGTACTGCTGTTCTCCGGAAAGACGGAACTAGTTTAATAGGAAGCGTGTGCCTGTTCACAGGAATTTCCCATATATACTTCTGCGTAAGAGGGAATCGCACTGTTTTTAGGGATATTGTTTTTGTTAAATTCAGTAAAACAAGAATTGTTGCTGAAGGAAAAAGCCAAAAAAAAAAAAAAAGACAAGACTGTAGTTGATATTTTACAAACTAAGTAAATCTGTTGAGTAGCGAAATAGATGTAAGAAGCTCTCTAGAGGGAGGTGACTGTGCACGTTGAAGACTTGCAGTTTTCTCCTCCATCCCCCTGCTAAGACAAAAGCCAGCGGAGGAGCTCTCAGTGTAGGAAGGTTAATAGCCAAGTAAAACCCTTGGTCCCATCAGCCTTAGTCACAGTTTCTACTTTCCAAGGAGCACTCCGCTCACAGGGCCCGTTGCAGCTCTGAAAGGCCAGCTACTTTCTTCCCAGTTTGGAACCGATTGGACCATTTTGCTGTCAGGCAGGTAAGAAATACCAGTAATAAAGCAGCCTTCAATAAGGAAAATGCACGTTATCTGGAGCAACTCTCCGCTGCTGCTCTGAATATATTGTAGTAGTCTGCGGTTAAGGCTTTGTTCACTTTGGACTGAGTGCTAAGGGAGCTGTGACCACAAGCATGTGATGTAGTATAGCCATCCTCCGAGCTGGTTTAACTCAGCTAGCTATCTTAGAGACTTGCTTAACCCAGCATTTAGCACACGGTGTTCAGCGCTGCCAGGCTAACTGGAAAAGGCCTGCCTTACCCAGCTATAGTTTTTCATGGTGGTAGATTTTCCGTACCCGAAGTAGAGTTATAGCCAACTTAGGCCTGATGGTGGTGCAAAGACGACTTGAAACCCTTAAAAACAAATACATAAAAGGAGAGAGAGCGTTTCCATGCAAAGTTCCCAAGTTCAGGTCACTTCTGCTCTCGCAGTTGACTGCTGTTAAAACCTGTACCAAGTAGACATCGAGTTACCTGGTTGTACGTAGCAAAATAGAGTCAGGTTATCAGTCTGCCCCTAAATATTTAATCCTTTGTTGTCAGGGTTGCTTCATCAAGCAGACTTTCATTGTTCTTTAAAGATCTGTCTGCAAAAAGAGTAAGATAGACTTAATAGTGATGATTGTTGCTGTTTTGGTGCTACAGACATTTGCTTTTCTCAGTGTAAGTAACATGACGATATCAAGCACAAGTTATCTTAAAGATTTATGAATGCTACTTTAGTTAAAAAGTAAACTAAATCATCTCTGCCAATGCATACATTTGCTGATATATTTAGTTCCCATTTGTATGGGTACAGGTTCCATTATTTGCAATGTTTCTGTTCTTAGCTTCTTTCTCAAGTGCAGCAAATAGATTTCTTCTTTTTATAAGTGCCTATGGGAAGATTTCCAAAAGTGCTTAAGGCCCTACTGAGCGTCCAGGGAGTTTAGATGCCCAGGTCCCCCTGGCAACTTTTGAAAAATCCTCCCACTGTCTTCAGATCAGGATGGAGAAGTGTCCTTAAGCGTCTGCACAGAGGTGATGTGGATGGTGTGCAATCACTTTCCATTGTTTCTCTAGATGAGTTTCTAATTTTATAGTAGCAAAAGGTAAACATATGGAACACTAACCTTCCAGCTAAGGGCCAGACCAAACCCATTACTTGCCTTGGTGATGAGCTGCTCCCCTAAGTCAAGCAAAGGCAGTGGTGAGATTGCCCACCCAGCAGTGATGGAACTTGACCCCAGGCCCTAGGGGTTTTATGTTGTGTATTTATTTATACAGCATAGGTTTTAAGTAAATATGTATTGGTATTGACCAGCTGGCTTGGAATTGGAGTTTACACGGTCTGCTCTCTTGACCTGACTGTGCACATTGCTGTGCACTACCGTACATCTCCTGACCTGTGTCAAAGTGCCAGATGCTGAGCATCCGACATCAACAGCATCTGGCAGCTAAGTACCACATTCAGGCAGCACAAATTCCATCTACTGTCTGTCCCTGAGCCCAGTGTTTCCTCCTCGTGAGGCCTATCAGAGGATTCAGTCAGCTTGTTAGAAATAGTGACCCCCCA